CTGCGCCCTTAATGGCATCCTTTAGAGCTGGCCACTGTCTTTTACACTCTTCTTCAGAAAGATTTCTCATAAGAAGTAAAAGAGTGATGATACATTTTGATTAAGACATATACATAGAACATGAATAATGTTTACTAGTTATATATATATATAGCAGATGAAGTAATAAGGTGATGATATAAATGGTTGCATGCTTCCTTCAAGAAGCCCTGAATGAATTTATGTATGGTGTTTATCAAAATAATGAAATTTTATAAAGAACAGTTTGTAGCTCAAAATAAATAAGCAAGATGTTTTGCATAGGACTCTCAAAGACCTTATATGAAGAGTAAATTTGATAAAAAAAAATAACAAAGCTCATTCTGTGATGCAATAAGTAGAATTCAAGCTTGCCTAAACACATCATTCATGAAACAATTAAACAATTCAAGCTTGTTTACAACCAGGATGCTTACAAAAAAGAGAAAGAGTCCTCAACCTTGATGCTTGGCTTGCAAAATTTCTTTGAAACTTTAAAATCAAACAATTGAATTTTTAAAATCAAACAATTGAATTCTTGCCATCTGTAGTTCTGTTGAACAGGAAGCTATTACACTAACAGAATAGAAGAAGAGAATTAATTGTTGATTTGATTGTTCTAGGTGGGAATTCCAGCTTAGGCTTAAATCACAAATATTGGATTGACAACAAATTTTATAAGTACATTTACATTGAGTAGAAAGCACATTCTTTGAAGCCTGTTTTCAACACAATTATTCTCACACACAAACACAATATGAAATTGAAAGCACAACAATCACACTTAAATCCACACAAGGATAGAAACTAGAAAGTAGAAAGCACATCCTTTGAAGTCCCCCGAACAAGACAGACTGGGTCTGCTTCCTGATCAATTGAAAAAAAAAAGAAAAAACCATTAGTTGAAAATTCTTCAATTTGTAGGAAATGAATGCTATAACAAAGATTTGCAAAGAGTCGCACCTAAATTTTTTTTTTTTTAAAAAAAAAATCATTACTTGAAAATCAACTGAATATCAAAGACCTCAAAAGAAGGGTAAATTAAGCAGTACTATACATTTTTAACAATAATCAACCAATTCGATAAGAAAATATGAAAGTCCTTATAAAAAGGGTAAATTCGATAACAAATATCGAAGCTCGTTCCATGATGCAATAAGCAGAATTGAAGCTTGCCTAGACACATCATTCAAGAAACAATTAAACAGACAAAACGTTCAAGCTCGTTTGCTAGTTTTTCAAGACAGATGGAATCAAAAAGATACACTCAACTGAAAAGAAGAAGAAGAAGAAGTGAATTTAACCTGCTTGTCGAATGAGTCTTGAGGAAATCGCGTATCAACGAGGAAATTCAACCGTGGGTCGGAGGAAATTCAACCGTGGGTCGAAGGACCTCCTTTGCATTGGGATGGTCCCACTCCAACGATTCCCACCATTCCTCTGGATTTATTGAGATTTTTTTGAGGGAAGGAGGAGGAGATGGTTGGGCGTTATCAACCAGGGGAAGAGAAAGAGGGATCCTCCTTAGGCACTTGCAATGGTTAATCCAAATACTTTCAAGAGAATCACATACCATTACTGCACTCCTGCTACAGACGCTCTTCAATGCGGGCAAGTGTAGCAACCACAGAACTTTTAATTTTGGAAGAATGAGCTTCTTGATGATGTCCCCTCCTTCTTCTGGATCTGATGCTATTATTTCTTCCAATTCTCTACAATTCTGGACATCAATCCACTCAAGACTTTGGAGATACCCTAAAAACTTCCAAGACGGGATGAACTTTTTTATTTTACCACAACCCCAAAGCGATATAGATTTAAGAGATGAAAAGGTGCCAGGTGGCGGTGGTGGGGACATGGCAATCATTTCTGCGTCAAATAGGCCTTCCAACTTGACCAATTCATCAAGAATCAATCGCTCGAGGGTTTGGACGAGTGGGTTTATCCACGAGGTAAAAACACACTCCATGCCTTCACAAACTACAATCTCGCAGCTCCTCAAATCTGTTGCATCTTTAATGGAAGAAAAATCATTTAAGCTTCTTAGGTTGTCACAACCTTCAATGTATAATCCATCTACTGAGGGTGGCAATATTATATTCTCTCCAACAATATCTATTCCACCGAATTTCACCATGCGATAACCTCCAAGAAATTCCGGGCCACCGCGGTGAGAATATTTTCCAACTGCAACAGAGTATCTACTCAGCTGATCTCCTTGACCATAAACACATTTCAAAAAGATGCTCCAGTCATGCACTGTAGGGAACTTGCCATGAAAAGCTTCCAGCTTCTCCAATCTCTCTATCACTTCCACTCTTAACGCTATTCTATCATCCACAAATAATTGTTGTAGTTTTGAGAGATTTAATAATATTGCATCATCTAATCTGCTACAATATTCTCCGAAAGTAGATCCTCTAAGACTAAGATATTTGAGATTTGTACACATTTCTAGGCCTTTAGGGACTTCTTTGATTTCTGTCTCATCAAGGTCTAACTTTTTTAAAGCTCCAAACTCTGAAAAAGATGGAACCTCTGTTAAGAATTGACACCCTTGCAACAAGAGTGTAGTGAGATTCACCAATTTGGAAATGGAACTTGGCAAGCTCCTCAGCCGATAATTGTGGGAAAGATCAAGAATTTTGAGCGCAGGCATATGCTCAAAGACAGATTCTGAAATTGTTGACAAATTATTGTGGGACAACAACAAAGTTGTGAGCATTGTGCATTTTGAAGATAGGATGCTTGAAGGAATTTCTTCTATCTTATTCCTCATTAATGAAACCTTTTCAAGATCTTCCATCCATTTTCCCTTCTCAGTTAGCTTCTTTAATGCCTTGCCAGCTTCTACCATGAACCGAGGACTCGTTCTTGTAATTTGCAATGCCATATCCCTAACAAGATCATGCATCCTCACACAATTGCCTTCAAATCTATCTTTAATGGATTCCAACAAACAATTATCTACAAGTGTCCTCAATATATCATGGCCTTCATCCTTCATTGCTTGTAGAGTCTCCATTTCATCTATTAGCTCCTCATCAATCCAATAATCAATTATGGAATTTATTGGGATATTGTGGTCCTCAGGATACAATGCACAACATAAAAAGCAATGTTGGATTTTTGGGATTTCCAAATGATCATAACTAAATTTCAATACCCCGAATGGATTAGCAACATTTGTACCTGCTACATTTCTTTTGCAATCTTTCATTTGATTCAATGCAACCCTCCATGACTGTGGATCAGATTTTGCCTTCAAGCTACTAGCAACTGTAACAATTGCCAAGGGAAGGCCATCACATTCATCTACAATCCCCTTTAAAGTTGCTTCTAAAGTTCTTTTAATGCACCTTTGATCAGATAAAACAATATTTCCAACTTTATGCATAAACAATTTTAAAGCTTCCCCTTGCGAAAGTGTCTTCACTTTAATTATCTTATAGTCCATTGTCTGAGCAACCTCTTGTGACCGTGTAGTCAATACCAACTTGCAACCATCACCTACGAGTGGCTTAGGAATTCCAACATCTTCAAGTTCAAATATACTCCACACATCATCTAGAATTAGAACACAAGGCTTGTGTCTTTCTAGCACCTTTAATAACATTCCGGCACGTATACTTGTGTTTTGTTGCTCAAGTATTTTTTTTTCCTCCAAGATGCCTGCAATTTGTTGTTGCAAATTGTAGATATCAAGGGTTTGTGACACATTTGCCCAAATTACTTTCTTGAATTTTCTTTGTTTCAACAACTCATTGTGGACATGCTTCATGATTGTTGTTTTTCCAACTCCCCCCATTCCCCAAACTCCAAGCTTTGTCACCTCATCTCCTATCAAGCATGCCAAAATTTCTGCCTTGACTTCTTCCCTGCCTTGTAATTCTGGTGTTGGCAATTCCACTGCTGAAACGGATGGATCATCTTTGACCAAACACTCGTTAGTGAAACTACCCCCTTTGTCATATATTTCCTTTGCTTCCTGAGCCCTTTCCTCTAGAATCTTTACTCGACAACAGCATGAGAGACATCCCCAACTATTCACTTCATTTGCAACCTCCTGTCTTGCAAGAAACTTTTCCACATCATTCAACCATGTTTGCACTTCCTCCTTTGCAACTTTCCCATAGTGAAGCTCTATGTTCAATCTTGATTCAATTTCACATTTTCGATTGCTCAATCCTTCTTTGCTTTCATTGAATTGTTCCAAATGATTGTTGAATTTTATTTGATATTTTAGGTACGTCACAATTGGACTGCCAACAAACTTCACAATGTCAATTATTGGTCCTACCAAGTCCATAACGTAGTCACTGCATCATATTATTTACAGTTTAATATATTAGTCTCGAAGCCAACAAAGCAAAGTGTAATATATATATATATCAAGCTTTTGAGAGGAAAATAATAAATAAATAAAAAATATACAGAAACTAAAAATAATACCTGCAACTAGCTTGAGATTATTGTTTCTTCAATTCAAACGTTTTTGAGAGGATTGAGAATGCAGGATGCAAAATATGAAGTAGATATTACCAAATGCTACAATCTACAAAATAGAATAAAATCTCAATTAAATGTTAAGTCCAGTGACAATTTATTTGAAACATAAATGAAACTATTCCAAACAAAAATAATTCATTTCAAAAATGGAATCAAAATAATTTATTTTTAGAAATGAAATTAATTCTTCTTTATTAGTAGTTTGTACTTCATAGCAAATACACAGAAAATAATGCGAATTTATTTCATTTTCAAACAAAAGGAAGGAAAGAGAGGTTGACTTATGGAATGGCCGACAATCCAAAGAAAATTTTGGCTATAAAATACCCAAAATTTTGGAAGGGACACAATAAAAAAAAAAAGGGGTAAAATTTAGTTCTCAACCTTTACCATAAATACTAGATATTTTCCGAATCTTTTATTTAGATGAAAATAGTTCCCAATCTTTTTAAAATTACTAACCCTAGTCTCACTGTTAAGTTCCTAACAAAAATTCTAACTGAAATTTTGGGAGACCCATTGAAATTTTTACATAAATTTTCATTTAATGTCCATTGCACTAAACTTATTTTTACTAAATTTTGGATTCTTCAAGAACCGATTTTACTACCAGTGAACTCGATTTGGTGATTTTAAGTAAAAGTTTTTTAAAGAAACCCTTCAATTCCTTACGATGGATGTGCATATTTTGATGGTATTTTATGGAGGTATTGACTTTTGATTAAATGAGTTTGAGCACTATATTGATGTTGGACATGCTCTTTATTAATTAGTATGGGCCTTTATTAAAAAATGTTTAGGAATTTTTTTTTTCCACATTACAAATCAAGGTTTATGTATATGTTATAAGTTGCAATCCTATAATTTGAAATGAATTTTCATTTTGTATTTTTTATCTATATTATAAAGTTGTTATATGTAGATTTAAAAAATGGAACAAAAATTAATTGTAAAATGGTTAACTTAAGGAAGAAAGCGTGGCACATTAACATTTTCTCCAAACAATTAGAACGATTTTTGCAAAGATGTATCTAATAAAAGACTTCTTCACAAATGGTTAGGATGTGTACTTTTTACCTTCTTTAAAAATTTTAAAAGAAAATGTAACGTTATAATTCAAAGAAGGTTTAATACCCAATTTGGTCCTTAAACTTTCATTTTAGAACTTAGTTCGTCCTTTAACAAATGAAAGCACTCAAGTTGTCCTTTAACTTCATTTTTCTGGAACCCAAATGGTCCTTCCGTTGAAAGATTGCTAACTTGGCACGTTAAGTGTCCAACAATTACA